TGGATGGGCGGGTGGGTTGCTAAGTACTTGGAAGACTTGTTGCGTTTATGTAGGTGTGCCAAGTTGGGTTAACAAGTTGGGTATGTCGGACATGGAGCAAGTAGTAAGTTCTGCAAGTGCGGCAAAGAATGTATCATGTTTAGTAAATACATAGTGTCATTTATTATGCAGTTGTATATGACGGTAAACAAGTGGTACATTTGTCAGACTTGCTGATATGTGAATTAGACTACTTAGCTGACTTAGCGCAAAGAACATGTAAGTATACATAGCGTAGTTAGCTAACATTGTTAACCTTGTTTGTTGGTGCCATTTGCAACCATGCCTGCGTGTGCTCGCAGCAAGCAAATCGATGTTCTTCTGAGCTCGCTGGCATGTATATTACAGCTGGCAGGGCTGAAGAACATGATGCAAGAGAGTGCAGTGTTGCTGCATGCGGCTCTGATTTTGGAAAACTGCGACATTTATATGTTTTGCGGGCATGTCCGTTTGCAGCAATGCTCACATTTCATTTTGCCAATCATTGCAATTTTCCGTGGAAGTCTCTCCTGAGATCTGGCAAGGCATGCAAAAGTGTTTTGGCACGCAGTCCACGGCAGCAAGGCTCGCGTTTGAAGGTGTGCGCTGTTCGTTCATGTTTTCCCAAGCTCGCTGGCATGCATGGCATGTGTAAAGCCGGCAGGGCTGATGCAGCAGAAGAGCGTTGTTGATGCTGGCATGCATGCGCGGACTACACTATATATGTGTTGAGTCGCGCAGCTCCTTTGCGCTCCGTTGTGCCATCCAGTCTTGCAGTGTAAAGCCATGCCGCTGTCTGCAGAGGTGGAGCGCCAAGTTGCTGCCCTGATCGAAGGGAGCAAGAATGGTGAGTTCTTGGTCAGGAATGTCCAAGAAATCTTCAGCATCCTGCGCCGCAACAGCCTCCTCACCACCATGAGAATCCCCCCCATGGCGGTCGGGGTGCACCCGCAGAACCGCGACGGTGCCGCCCTAGTGACTCAAGATGTCCACGAACTTCTTGAGAGGATAGTTCAAGTTGGTTTTACCCCCAGTCGCGTCAATGCGATCGGCATAGAGGTCGCCAGCGAGGGAGAAAGAGAGTTCAACAAACAGCTCGTGATGTCTGCCGGCTCGCAGCTGGGCCAGATGGACTCTGCAGCACTTAAGGTGCTGAGCTTGTCTGGGAGCCACACAAACTGGGCACTGCGCCTGGTGGCTAGTGGCTCGCCGCATGCGTCTGACATCATCTCAGTCAACGGGCATGTCTCGTTTGAACTTGTGGAGAAGCGGGACAAATGTCTGGCTGATCATGCCCGCGAGGGCCTCACATGGCAGATCATTGCCAGCGAGGTTGGCCGGCGCTTTCCAGAGCTTCTTCAGATGGTCCAGGCGTCTTGTAACGCCACATTGCAAAAGACCGAATCGGAGCTCCAGCTCCTGAGGCGTGTGTGTTCCTTGCTCTCCAAAGTTGCAGATGGCAAGCCCGACTACAAGCTCATCAAGAAGCAGGCTTTGGCCTCGAAGCCGCCGTGCGGCGACAGCCTTGCGGGCATCTATGCCTTTGCTCTGAAGCCACATGTCTCAATGATACTTATAATGGTTCGTATATTCTATTTGAAGATCTGAATATGTCTATATTTGTCAGGTTCAGTGGTGGGGCTACAGCATGGATGGTTACGGAAACCGAAAGCTTCGTCCGAGCTAATGGCTACCCCAGAACTTTGGGCCCCGCCTTCTGGGATGAGTTGGCAGCAGACGCGAAGTTTTCAGACCAAGTTCCATGCCTTCGTCACGCAATCCTGAAATTGGCTTGCTCAGGCCAAGTCATCACGCCCGCCAACCTGAAAAAGGTTTTTGGCAAGGACGGCTTTTGCAAGGCACAGTCGGCGGACGCCGTCATCAGGAAGCTTAGAGATGTCTTGAGTGAGAATGGTCTGGACATCATGGCAGATCCACG